TCGTTTGAGCATCTGGATCTAGCTGTACCTGAAGGTACACATGCTGGGCACGAGCTGATCAATTCTGCTGTCCATGTAGGCCAGCCTGAGTTGAGTTTCCATCACTTGTAGTAGAAAGCCTCACCAGTACCAGGCAGCTCGAGGAGTGAGGGAGATTGTATAAGAAATTGTAAGATGGTGTGAAGCTCTCTCTGGGTGCCTGCCTGTTACGTACCTGCCAAGTCAAGTTTCAACAGTCAACTTTGCCTTTTTTTTTTTTTTTTTACCTGAGGGCATTCTCTGTCTTCTGGAGCCCATGTCATCATGCCTGTAGCCAGAAGTGCCAAGGAATTAACACCTGCCAGGGGCAGTCCTCAGTGAGTGCTGACAGAGGCTGTTAAATTTATCCTAGCTCCCTGACCCCTCTAGTACAATAGCTCTTCTGGCCTTTTCTAGAGGAGCTCACAGCTTCCCCAGCAAACTGAAGCCCCAGGTGCCCTCAGTGGTGGCTGAGTTGGGAACATGCTCGGTTGACTGTCTTTTCTTGCAACACTCCCCAACTCCCCTACTGGGTTCCCTTCACTGCCCAAGTAAAGTACTAGTACTTGAATCGTTGTCTCAGGCTCAGCTTCCTGGGACACCAAAACCACAGCTGAAGATAAGGCTCAGCAATATGGGTTCCCACATTGTCTCTCCATCCACCTCAACTGACGCATCACACAATCCTACAAGGCTCTTTCTTTTTTTTTCCTTTTTGTCTTTTTTCGTGTCCAGCAACGGAGCGCAACCCTCAGTGTCGCGCCCCCCGGACCGGGACCGGCAACGGGATCGCAACCCTCGGTGCTGCGCCCGCACCTCGCTCAGCCAGTGAGCGGTGGGTCTGTATGTGGGATCTGAACCCTCGGCAGGAGCGCCGCCGTGCTCCCAAGTGGCACACTGTAGCAGTGCGCCACTGGGCCGGCCCCTACAAGGCTCTTTCTAATGCAGAAAACTGATGCATCAATACCAGGTGATTCCTCATCTCATTTTTCTATCCTATCCTAGCTTCCTTTAAAACAAACGAGGCACAGGAGAACACACATGCTGCTGCCCTCATATTCATGGGTGTAACAGTCTTTCAGATTGTGTACTTCAGAGTTGAAAAGATCACGAGCAAGGTGCCAGTCTTCTATGCTCCGAGGGCTGAGATAAAACACTCTTAACAGTGGGTGAGTTCACTGTGGCTGACTTCTCATCTTGAATTAATTTTTCTTCAAACACTCTAGACAGAGAGAAAACTTAACACAAAACAAGCCCCCTGAATGGAAGATAGTCAGAATTAAACCCTCGGAACACCCTCAGATTGCCAAACTCCATCTCCCTCAGCCCTGCTGTGTGATGGAGACTAAGTCCTTCCAGTAGCTCATCACAGTGAGGTTGGAACACAGTGTTTTATCAGGAGAAGCCAATGCATTTCCCCAAAGATGAGAAATTCTGAGTGACTTAAAATAACATGCCCAGGGATGATTTAGAGCTCTTTCAAGAGTCACGTCTGCAAATCAGATGAATTGCATCCATAAATTCCCCAGAGTCGGTGCTGGGGTACTCCAATTACTGTCAACTGATGAAGACAGATGGGCATCAGTGGGGGACAGTGGCTGTCCCCACGCCAGGGAGGGTGCAGATCCAGTCATCCACCCTAATTAATTCCCCATTGTCAGCAAATAGTGTCAGGCTTCCGGCTTTCTCTCACCCGCTTTCCTCTCCTCTTACTCTGTTCCAGAAAACACCACATGCCAATTTCCTGCCCCACCCCCACCCAGAGAGAAGAGCCAAGAAGCCAATGCTGTGGGCTGGACTAAGCCTGAATTCACTCCAGGTCTCTCCTATTAATGCTCTGGAACAAAGTCAGGTAGCAACTGTCTCCTTGTGATAGGCAGAATTTCTAGAATGGTCCACCAAAGATGTCCTACCCTAATCCTCAGAGCCTGGATGTATGATGAGAGCGATGTGTCTCACGATAATGTTATATGGCACAGTTGACCTTCAGATAGGGAGATCTTCCTGGATTATCTGGATGGGTCCAATGAAGTCACATGAGCCCCTAAAAGCAGAGAGATTTCTCTAGCTGGCGGCAGAAGGGGACGTCAGAGAGATTTGGAGTGTGAAAAGGACTCCATACATTGTTGCTGGACTTGAAGAAGATAGGGTGGGATGGGGAGTGAGAAGGGATGTGGGTGGCCTTAGGGAGCTAACAGAGGCTCCGGCCAATAACCAGAAAGGGAATGGAGCCTCAGTCATACAAGCATACTTCAAAGAGCTTGTGGAAAAATAGGATGAAAATATAATACAATTGTTTCATGAGTTTTTTGAAGACCCTTTGTGCAACTGCAAGGATCTGGATTCTACCAACAACCTAAGTGGGCATGGAAGCAGAATCTTCCCCAGAACATCCAGGGCAGAACCCAGCCAGCTGATACTTTGATTGCAGCCTCGTGATGCCCTAAGTGTAGAGCCTGGCTGAGCCCACCCACAGCACTTTGAGCTAGCAAGTGGGTGTTGTTTTCAGCTGAGAATTTCATGGTCGTTATGTGGCAGGAGATAACTGATACACCCCTGTGTGCTGGGAATCATCACTCAGTTCATCACAGCCCTACCACTCAGACTAGGTGGCCATGTGGATTTTATATATCCTGCATCATTGTTTATGCCACCAGCTCAGCCCCTATGGGCACTAGAATGTGCAGCCCCTGAACTGAACTGACATCCTGCACTGTCTTCCCTAGAAGCACGTAAACACCTTGGCGATCTTGCCTGTACTGTCGAACATCACTGTTCTGTTTCCACCACTGTGTCTCCCCTTTGCAACACTGTCATACATATTCTCACAATTGCATATTGGGGGATCTAACCCCTTTTACTAGCCCTCTAGGGCCCAGGCCTGTCCCAGTCTCAGTAGGGCAGCTCCTCCAGCATTTCCTAGTCCACGGTGAGTATTTAATTTGAGCTTCCTCTACAGTCTTCCTGCCTTGTCTGGCTACAAGTCACTGGAGGAAACTAGGTATGAAGCAGAATGTTCTGAGCCAAGACTGTGCCTGCTCTCATGAGCAGCTGAGGTCCTGTGTGCTGGCCCTAAAATGGTGATAATAATAATGACATTCATCCTCATGAAAAGAGCTAACCCTGACATAGCACTGCTCTGTGCCAGCCACTGTTTCTAGTACTTGACATAATTAATTCTAATTTAATTCCCAAAAGGACTCTTCAAGTTAGGTGCTGTTACTCCCTCTGTAAGGATTGAGGCACAGGTGCCCTAGGTCACATAGGTGGTAAGGGACAGAGCTATGATGCCATCTGGGCATTCTGGCTCATAAGTCTGGGCTCGTCTCACAAGTATTTTCCTAATGACACGATCGGAAGCAGAAAGCCCTGCAGACAAGGTAAATGCCTGTGCAGCTTGTCAGGGTCAGGTGAGCCTGTCCTGGATTACTTTTTCCTCCTCTCTTCCAATTTCTTGTCTTCCTGCTCAGCTCTGAGAGTCATTCACTCACTCAGCTAATGCTTACTGAGCACCTACTGTGTGCTGGCACTGTAATGGGCACCTGGGGTAAAGCAATGAGCAGGCATTTGTCTTCTAGAATCTTCCATTCCATGGAGGAGAAACAAAATAAATGAGCAAATACATAATGGGCCACAATAATCAACCATATTGTATATTGACAAAATAAAATAAAACTAAAAAAATATTATTATTATTAATAAATAATTATTAAACAAAAAGAACACAAAAAAGCCATCACACCTATTTCCAGATGTTAGAATCTTTCCTAGCAATACTCTCTCCATCCTAAACAGACATGAGGTCCATTAATATTACTAATAATTATTAATAATAAATTATAATAATAATTATTATAGTTATTATTATCATAATTTCAGATGATAATGAATACTATGAAGGAAATAAAACAGAGGTGTAGGAAGTGCAGCTGTGAGGAGAGGGTCTGAAAATGAGCAGGAGACACACTCAGTGGTGAGTCGAGGGTGGTGTGTTCCAGGCCGAAGGAAAGGCAATTGGGAAACTCCTAAAATCCCCAAGGGGGGCAGTGCCTGAAATGTGCTGAGAGAGATTGAGAACTGGGGAAGTTGAGGTCAGAGATGGAGACAGGGCCTTTTCATGCGGGCCTTGTGGGAAGTCGAAGGAATACAGTCTCCTTCTAAGTGCAATGGGACGTCATCGGTGTATGTTAAGCCAGCAAAAGACATGCTCTGATTTATAGTTTTGAAAGCTCACTCTGCTCTTGAGAGGAGAGAAGAGTGGAGGGCCGTGGGAACGGTGGCAGTCAGGAGACCTGGTGAGGAGGCCGATGAATGAACCCGCCCTTGGTCTGCGTTGTCCAATAGCTATGTGGGTAAGACAAATATTTTGGTCTGCAATGATGTAGCCTCTATTCTGGAATGTGGTTCTGCTAGCCTGACCCTGTCCTTCCTTCTCCTTTTGTTGAATCAGGCATAGGTGCTGGCCCTGCTCCTTCTCGGCTGCTGCTGTCTGGCCCCCTACCTGTTTGGGAGTCCGCAGCAGCTCCTCAGCTGTGGCCACAGCCGTGATGACCTTGCTGTTCTCTGTGTTGGGGTGGAGGTTGACTGACAGCCCAGCCATGAGCTGGATGGCCAAGTCTGTGACCGACACTTTGTCATCTAACACGGTCACTGTCTTCTCTGCCAGGATGGCGTCAGACAGTGGGGACAACACCTGTGGGATAGGCAGAACACAAAAAAGCCATCACACCTGTTTCCAGATGTTAGAATCTTTCCCAGCAATACTCTCTCCATCCTAAACAGACCTGAGGTCCAGAACACAGCACGAAGGAGGCACACACCTGCTTCGCTATATACTCTGGCCCATACTGTATCTTTGTCAGAATCAGATAAAGTCACTTTTTCCCTAAGACATTTCAGTTCTATCTGTTGGAAAATTGACATAAATATTAAAACTCATTCTGTCTTTAAAAAGGAATGACCCCTCCCATTCAGATAAGGTACCCTTGTACAGTACACAACCTGGTTAACTTTACATGGTGATCCTGTTGACTAGATTCAGGAAAAGTTTCAGACAAATTGAATTTAGAATTTAGAATCACATTCTAAGTGAACTATGAAATTAACTGGGGAGAACTAAATTATGAATAGTCCACTCCTCCCACCACCACCAGAGTGTATCCTCTGCTGAAACATTGCTTTCTGCCTCATCTCATAAGCCAGATACTGGGCATGAGATGTTCAGGTGACATGATAGACAGGTACTCATCATTTCCACCTAGGGTGTAAGAATCCAGAATGACATTCCAGAAAGGTGGAGTCAGCAGTGTGGGACCTGAAGGTTTGAGGAAAAGTCCTCCATGACCCACCATCTGTCCTGAAATCCTACCATTCTATACTTTTCTTTGAGCGAAAGATAGGCAGTAGGAGTTCAGGGAGAGTTGGTTGAATAAACAAATAGAAGCATGATGGAGTGACTGAAGGAAAGGAGTGAGAGGAAGAATCCACGCTTCCTCGCCTGATGACTGGTAGAAGCAGCACATTGAGATGAAGGCTGTTTCTGCGAAAGATAGGCAGTAGGAGTTCAGGGAGAGTTGGTTGAATAAACAAATAGAAGCATGATGTAGTGACTGAAGGAAAGGAGTGAGAGGAAGAATCCACACTTCCTCGCCTGATGACTGGTAGAAGCAGCACATTGAGATGAAGGCTGTTTCTGAGAGGTGGAGGAGGAAAAAGTCTGGAGAGAGGGTACTGAGTGGTAGACCGAGAGGCAGGATGGCGAGTGTTTGCAGGTGGTGGGATGGGGATGTGCCGTTGAGAGTGGAGCTGGGGTGTGCAGCTGGGGTGTGCAGCACCCAACTTCTCACTTCTGTTTGGAAGGAGATTGGAGCTCAAAGAGCTGGTCCAGGCTCACCTCTCTGTGTCCCCATGATGCCATCTGCAGCCATCATGGGGGCAAGGAATTGGCCACTGTGATCTGCACCCCTTTGAATCCCCTACCCAATACTGCATGGCATGCTGCGTGCTGCGGATACAGAAATCCCGAACTCCTGCTCCTACCTGGATGGTCGTCATCCCAACCTCCCGCCCGACCAAGATCCTGCTGTCCTGGAGTGTGGCCACGTGAGGCTCCTCCAACTTCATGAATTCTGTGACCAGGTGGGTGATGTCGAACTGCCAGTCGGGACTAAGCAGGTGGCTCAGCTGACCCCACAGGCCTGCACCCTCAGACACAAACTGGGTGAGGACCCGCACGGTGGCACGCTGGTACTGCAGGGCACAGCCCCGGCCCCGCCGCTCCTCCTCATCCTCATCCTCGCTCTCTCGTGTGGGCCTGTGGGAAAGGGAAGGAGCTCTCAGATCCAGGGAGAGGAGATAGGCTGGAGCCCGTCTCAACCTCAGGGAGACAATGTTCAATACGGGAGCCCCAGGACCACACGAGGAGCACTGATTCCACCAGGTGGCAGTGCAGAGGGTTGCACATCTCTTTCTTGAATACATTGATTGACAAATGAAAAGACTTAACAGCTAATATTTACTAAGCCTAAGCTATCCCACACATGGCTATATATATTTTAATTTAAATGAATAAAAATTAGATAAGTTTAAAAATTCAACTTCTCAGCCACACCGGCTATAGCCCAAGTGTGCCATATTGGACAGGGTGGTTCTAGAACATTCCACCACCATAGAAAGTTCTATTGGACAGAGCTGTATCACACTCTTGAGATGTGCCAAGTCCCTCTCTAAGCTTCCACATGCGTAAACTCTTTTACTCTCATAACACTGTGGAGCAGACCTATCATTTTTCTCACATCCAGATGAAGAAACCAAAGCACAGAGAGGTTAGGGAGCTTGAGGAATCTCACAAATCAAGTGAGTGGCAGAGCTTGGATTGGAACCCAGAGGGTCTCAGTCCTGCTTTCTTCAGGGACATGGAGTGAACCCATTCTCTTGGCCACTCATGACCACTATGAGATCTGTAGGGCTGGCGAGGCTCTTAGCTACCTCCCCTGATCAGCCCAAGTTCCTTCAAGTCCTTGTGGCATTGGACTTGGTGTCTCACTGTCCTCGAGGGCACTTTCTAGTTTGTCCCTTACGATGAAGTCCCTGGTTCCTGGGGTACTGTTAGGAAATAGCCCTGATGGTTTGGGAGGGAGAATTCCAGGCAGAAATCCATGAACTCAGCAACAACCCTCACCTGGCAAATATACGCCTATGTGTGGGGCACCGAATTAAGAAAATGAGAACCCAAACTCCTACACATGACAGTCCGAGTCACACCAAATAAATTAGAGGCTTTTTGTAAACAGTGACCCCACAGTTCAGTATAAATGCAATTAAATTTTATCCAATAATTTAATCTGCACAAAACAGTTAAAGCTTACTGTAATCACAAAGCACAGAAGAGGGAATAAACCAAACTTCAAATTCCCTGGGGACCGAGGGGCTAGAAAAATGTGCTGCCTGTGTCACATCATTTTAGGCAAGGTGCTTGCAGGAGACAGCATAATTGGAGCCCAAGTGTCAAATGCACACAACCTGGGTTTGACACCGACCTGCTGTTCAGCAGCCTTTGTGCCTGGCTGGGTTATCTTAGAGCCCTGCCTTCCCAGAGGGTTGTTGATAGGATTGAGGGAGATGTAATTGACATGGTAAAACCAGCACCTACTATGCGCTGGGTCCTGTATTGGATCTTTTAGTGTTAAGGTCAGTGCATAAAGCTGTTGTTAGCAGGGCTCTAGAGCATCTCCCCATTCTGGGCTCACCTTTTACTGGCCACGATGGGAACCCTCCAGCCCTTAATCTGGCTGAGCTCTGTGTCAGAGACTTCGATCTGCAGGGGTAGCCGGGGCACCCACACGGTGATGTGCAGGGGGGCACTCAGGTACTGGTACGTGAAGTTCACCACTGCATCCATCTTGCCTTTTATCTCTTTGCCATTGACAAAGACATAGTTGCAGCGGTCGGACACCTGCAAAGACAGGGGGAGTGGGTATGGAGAAAAAGTCCATGGGGCATTGGAGTCCTCCCTTCTTTGGCTTGTCTTGTTCTCTTGCAAAGCACACATGCTTAATTCAGATTCCTCCCAATGCAGAGCCTGAGACAGGGATTTGGTGCAGTCAATTTAATTGGGAAGTGACCCCAGGGAGCAGGGGTGAAGGAGACAGACACTGAGGAAAAGACGATGGGAAGGTGCATTTTGGGGGCTGCTACTGTGACATCTGAGGCCTCATAAAAAGCATCCAGGACTGTCCACCTGAGGGATATGAGGCAAGAATATTATCTACCAGCTTCTGTCTCCCACTGGTGGAGGGCTTTCCCAGCCTGGTACAGAAAGCAGCTTGAAGTGAGACTTTGCAATCAAAAAGTGAACTTGAACTTGGACAGTCCAGAAGTGGTGGCTGAGGGATTGTGATGTGAACACCACAGGTGTCTGTACCCCAGGTTGATGTCTGCTCAGAAAGTCAGCCACACCCACCCCATCCAGACTCCCAGGATATGAAGGGCCTGTAGTGCTGCCTTGTCCAGCTGGATTCTCACCATTCCAACACTCTCCCTGCCAGTCACATATGGTCCTGATGACACCCAGGTCTTGGCACATGCAGTTCTGCCTGCCATGACTGCCCTGGATTGTTGATATGTTTGCATTATGGTTGCTCATTATGTGAGTGGTAGAGCCATATGAGAGACTACCAGCCTATGTTCCCTTCCTCTGTATTCCTCCCTTTCCTTTCTCCTTTCTAGCAGGTTGTTGCTTCAGGAAAGGGAGAAGAAACGGTAGAAAGAAAAACGAACATACAGAGAAAATAAAAATAAAAGTCTGCAAGCATCTGGCTCTTGTGTTCCAATGACATTCATTCAAAGACAAATCTATATACAGACTCATGGACATTCCCAGCATGGCAAGGAAACAGCAAAGGCTCCTGTGTTCGCAGGAAGCAGGAAGAGGCAACACGGATGAGGATGAGGCCATTGCAGAGGTAACTGTGCTGACTGTGGCTGATGAGGGATGACGCCCTAGGAACTCTGAACAGAGACTAGAAGACTAGAAGCCCCCTCCCCCAATGCCTCAGCAGTAGGTAAGCCCTCTGGAAATTAGCCAGGGATTCTGTTTCTGTCATCTTAATGAACTGAAAATTGAAAACAGAAACCACCTGAGTTATAGAGAAACAATATAACCTATCTTGCATAGTCGAGTTAGTGGGATGTGATTTAAGTTGACCCCATGTGTGCATATCATCTCCTATACTGTAAAACTCTTGAAGGCAAAAGGTATGTCTTACCCATCTTTGATTTCTTGGTTCCTTGCACCAGCTGCTCATGAAGCAGGAGCTCAGCAAAGTGGATATTGAATGGATGGATGAATGGATAGATGGATGGATGGACAGATAGATGGATGAATGGGTGAATGGACGGGCGGACGGATGGATGGGTAGATGGATGGATAGATGGATGGATAAGAGAGATGAAGATATTTAAGAATGTATGCATGGATGGGCAGATGGATGAACAGACAGAAGCATGCATGGATGGATGGATAGACAGATAGATGGACAGATGAACAAACTGATGTATGGACAGACGGATGTATGGAGGGAGAGATGGATAAACAGGGCCCTCCTTTCACAGGGATTCCTGCTTCAGGACAACCATCAACAATCTTGGGGTTGAGGGGAGATGCAAAAAGAGACTGAGAGGAGATGGCACCCCAAATAGTGAAAACACAAGAAATTAATTCTTAAGATTCTAGAAAGCTCTCAGGCAGTGTTTCCTAATCTTTTCGGGGTCACTGACTACTCTGAGAATACACATAAAGCTAATTCTTGCTAGAGGAATGCATACACCCAGTTTAGCAAAACTTTTCAGAGCTGATGAAGTCACTCATGGGCTCCCCGCATGGCACTTGCATGCTAAGCTGTCACTGCTGATTCTCCTGTCTGGATTGTGTACCCTGGAAAGAGTGGAGTCCTCTTCTGGTGGTCTGTGGACCCAGCCGAATAACATCCAGTGCTGAGCAGTGAACTCTTGTGATCCGATCACCTCTCTGCCCAGCTTCCAGGAACTCTGGATGGCCACGCTGGACCCAATTTTCATCTTCGATGTACACTTGTGTTTGCAGGGGCAGCTGTGTGGGCTGGGCTGAGAGAAGTTCCTCCATCTGCTGGGGACTGTGGCAGGGAGCAGTTGGGAGGGGAGTACACGGATGGACCTTCTCACTCATGGTCAAGAGTGGTTTTAAAATGTTTACATGCTGATTAAGGATGGAAAGCAATTTTAGTGGCTGTCCCAGACTTGTCATTAGCATGTAAACACTGCCCTGGATCTGGGCAGGCATTAACATAATAGCCCAGCAAGAGTTATATCAGTAATCACTTCTTTAATCAAAGTTGTAATTTACAGACCATTGACTTTTCTCATTTATTACCTTTCTGAGCTCTGCTGGGAGGGAACCTGGCTGCTCCAGAATATATAAATAAATAAGAGGAACGTCAAGGGTATGTAGTTGCTGTGCATGATAGAGCCATTGTCACCGCTGTTCCTGAAGGTGTCATAAATGTCTGGGGAAGTCTCAGGATGCATTAATCATCTCCTAAGTGGCTAGCAGAGAGGACCACAGTATTACAAAATGAAACAGCTCATCTACAAAAAAGGAACCGAAAACCCCACAGGAATCTTTTTAGTCCCTTGGCTTCATTTCTCAGAATCTTTTCCATCTTTCATTGTGGGTAAGCTGCCCATTGAGAAAACTGCCAACTGGACTCTGCTCCCTCTGACATTTCAACTATGTGGGCTGATTGCTTGGTGGCCACAGAGCCGATCATTGGTGTCTGCCCTGGAGGGGCCATGGGGGATCCCATGTGCTCTGGCTGAGCAGCATTTGGTTAGTTGTCATATTCTGTGGTCACTCAGGCCTTGACAACTTCCTGAGTATATCACCTGCCTCCTAGGGGAGAGTCTGAGAGTTACTCTCCAAGAGGAAAGCAAAGGAACTTGCTGGTCAACCACTGATGTCCAGTGGGACCTTTGGTGACCATGACTGCTGGGCCACCCCAGAGTCTCTGATCCAGCAGGTCTGTGTTGGGATCCACACTGGCATTTCTAACCAATCTCCACATGGTATTGTTGCTTCTGGTCTGGGGACCACAATTTGAGACCACTCCGTGCATCTTTTGCAAGCTTCTCATTACTGTAGTTACTAGTTATGATGCTTTAAGAAACATCTCTGTGCTCACAACACCAAGAATCCTATCTCTGGATATCCAACTGCTTATTCAACCTCTCCACGTGGATCTCTAATGAGTATCTCAAACCTAACATGTTCAAAAATCAAATGATTGGTTTTTTTTTTTTTTTTGCCACTTAGGGGACTGGAGCTATATCTGGATTAAGTTCAGATGCAGGAAAGTCGAATTTACATTTCTTGTACATCCAAGTTTGTGTACCTGCTCCATTAACACAAAATATCAAATGCTGTTATACAAGAACGGTCCCTTGTTTTACATTGCGATGTGTGTTCCTATCATTTTCATACTCAGTCCTTTCTGGAGCTCTGCACAGCAATTTTGACCCTATTTTGTGGATGAAAACACTGCTCTCAAGCTGCCCTGGCCCTCATTCCCTGGGTCCATCCCAAATGAGCCCACTCAGACAGGCTGCACCTTTCTGAGTCCAGATGGGGAACAGATGGTTCATGCAACCACGGAACTTGAGGAGAGCTGAACAAAGGGACTCCTTACAAAGGTGTGGGTAGGGTCCAGGGAAACCAGTGTCTAGTGGCAAAGCACGCCAGAGTTAGAGGGGGGTACAGGGTTGAATAGTGTCCTCCAGAATTCAAGTCTACTCAGAACCTCAGAACATGGTCTTATTTGGAAATAGGGTCATGGCAGTTGTGATTTGTTAAGGATCAAGATGAGATCATAGTGGCTTAGGACATGCCCCAAATTCAATGACTTATGACCGTGTGAGAAGGGGAGGAGACACAGAGACGGCCACGTGAAGATGGGATCAGGAACTGGAGCGAAGCATCTCCAAACCAAGGAATGCCAAAGATTGCTGGCAGCTGCCAGGACTGGAAGAAGCAGGAAGGATCCTTCTCTAGGGCCTTCAGAGGGAGCACAGCCCTGTCAATGTTTTGATGCTGGACTCTGTACTCCAGAACTGTGAGAGGATAAATTTCTGTTCTTTTTTTTAAAAAAAAATTTTATTGAATCATAATTGATTACACATATTTTTGGGATTCAAAGCTGACATATATTGATCAAATCAATATTAGTAGCATATATATTGTTACAAATAGTACTTATTCTTTATGCCACTTGTCCAATCTTTCCCCTTCCCCCCTCACTCCCCCTCCCCCTTCTAATTACCCTAGATTTCTTCTCTCCTTCTGAAAGAGTAATAGTTACTCTGTTGATTTGTTGCCTGGATAATCTGTCCAATGCTGAGAGGTGTGTTCAGGTCCCCCAATATTAATATAGAGCAGATGCTTCTGTCACTCTGGAATGGGCTTTGTGGAGAGAGACATCCTCTTCTTTTCTTTGGCCTCTGCTGGTGACTCTCCTTGTGTCAATGCACTCCAGCAGCTGGCAGACCATCTGCACGGTGGTTGTGGTGTCTAGCTGCTTTTGTGGCAACCAGGGATTCAAAGCTGACATATATTGATCAAATCAATATTAGTAGCATATATATTGTTACAAATAGTACTTATTCTTTATGCCACTTGTCCAATCTTTCCCCTTCCCCCCTCACTCCCCCTCCCCCTTCTAATTACCCTAGATTTCTTCTCTCCTTCTGAAAGAGTAATAGTTACTCTGTTGATTTGTTGCCTGGATAATCTGTCCAATGCTGAGAGGTGTGTTCAGGTCCCCCAATATTAATATAGAGCAGATGCTTCTGTCACTCTGGAATGGGCTTTGTGGAGAGAGACATCCTCTTCTTTTCTTTGGCCTCTGCTGGTGACTCTCCTTGTGTCAATGCACTCCAGTGGCTGGTGGACCATCTACGTGGTAGGTGTGGTGTCTAGTTGATTTTAAGGCAGCCGTGGTTATTGTGGTGTTTGTGGTGGGCCACCCCCATGGAGATGATATTTTTGGTATGCTCCTTGGCACTGGCAGTTTGCCTGGTTGTTGGGGGGGCATCTGGTCCCCAGATCAATATCTCAGGATCCTGGGTGGGCCCCAAGGTGCTGGCAGTGTGCCTGGTTGTGGGAGAGAGGGTGATCCAGTCTTCAGATCCATGCCTCAGGTCCCTGGGCGGGCAAATTTTTGTTGTTCTAAGGCACCCAGTTTGTGGTAATTTGTTATGGCAGCCCAGGACACTACACAAAGGGCTCCAAGAAGTTGCTATGACCTGCCAGGCAAGGTGAGAGCATGCCCACAGACCCAGCATGGGCACCATCATGGCAGGAGAGAATGGCCTATGGGAGCTGTGGCCTTGCTGGAAGATGCAACCACTGCCAACCCATGCCAAGCAGGAGGAGCCTAGGGGAACACACGTCCTGACCTCACTCTTCTATCGCCCTCGTGCATCTGCTGGTGCCTCCGATGGCCTAAACCCAGTGGGAAACTGGGGGAAGACTGAGCCAGTTAAAACAATCCACAAAATTTAGCCTCCCAGGGCTGACAGCTGGAAGGGAGGGCGAAGGGATGCAGAGGGACGGATAGGAATACACAGCACAGGGGCCTCTTTTCAGCAACTGTCCATCCTCCTAATCTAGGGCTATCATTTTAAAAAATTTTTGAATCACAGACCCCTGTTAATCTCTGGCAAATTCCTGAAATGATGTGCAAGTTCCTCCCTGATGTGCCCTGTTGTCTTTCCTAAGCACCTTCTACAAATCTTTACCTTGTTCACTCTGCCCCAGCCACTGGCCTCCTAGCTGGTCCTTGTACACACAAGCCATGCACCTGCCTTCGCATCTTTGCACTTGCTGTTCTAGCTGCCTGAAGGCTCCTTCCCCAGTTGTCTGCATAATTTGCTCCTCATCTCTTTCAGATCTTTAATCCAGTGGATCTTAACCTGCGGCAATTTCGACCCCCTGGGGACATATGACAATCTCTGTAGATCTTCCTGGTTGTCATAATTGGGAGGCAGAGTGCAACTTGGCATCAATATCCTACAATACATAGGACAGTCCCCCACCACAAAGAATTAATCTGGCCCAAATGTCAACAGTGCCAAGGTTGAGATTCCCTGCCTAACTCAAGGTAAACATCTCAGAGATCCTTTCTCTGCATTTCTATTTAAAATTGCAACTTCACCGAACCTCTCTAACCCCTTCTTTGTTTGATCTTTTTCTTTGTTACTTGCTGCCATCTGATACACTGTGTATTTTACCTATTCACTTTGGTTATTATCTGTCCTCCCTCACTAGAACATAAGCTCTAGGACAACCAGGATTTTTGACTGTTTTGTTCAGTGTGGTATCTCTATTGTGGCACATTATAGGTGCTCAATAAATAGGTGTTGAAGAATGTATGATTCAAAGCTTGTAAACTAGTGGTCCTGGGTCGCATTGGGTCTGCACAGTGTTTTTAAAATTAGTTGCCAGCATGAGAAACCATTGCGTTTAATTTTGTTACCAGCCTGAACACTGGAAGTATTTGAGTTTTCTCCCCTGAACGGGGGGGTCCACTCCCCACCTCCATGCCTCAGGGCCCCAGATGGGCCCCAATGGGTACTCTATTTTTTCTTTCAGTTCTGTGTTGTATTATTTGCTGTTCCCACCACTTAAATTCTGCACTGGAACTAATTTGTTGTCTTTTGCATATTTCTGAAGTGGCGGAACTTCCTCTGGGGACCAGTAGTTGAGCTCTGTGGTTGAGCTAAATTGCTGCTTTGCTGCTGATTCCCTGGGGAAGGCTTTTTGTGCAGCACCAATTTTAGTGGTTGACTTTTCTAGGTACTTCTGGGTTTAGTGAAATCTGCTGCACCTGGTTTGTGTAGAAACACTGGTCTGGGCCTGAGTCTTTTCATCTGACTGCACCTCATGCAATACTATATTCCTGACCAGTCTCTTCTGAGTGATCCTATGCTGATTGGGAGGCAGATCACTGTACCTCAGTGTTCTCCTGGTGGCCCATCTCCCTCACCGC